GTGACCAGCGGAGAAAACTCAAAACTAAAAACTAAAATTTGCCAACTATTAAAACTCCTGCTCCTCTAACTCTGGCCTATTTCCATTTGGCCACAATAAAAGCCAAAGTTCAAAGGTCAAAGTGAAAGTTTCAGAGCAGACCCAGGACACACGAGGCTGAAACGCTCAGAACAACAGATGCATGTTTTCTGGATTTAACCGGGATAATTGTTTAAGCTCTCGTAAAGCGTCAGAAACAGTTTAGATTTTTCTGAAATATTTTCTGAAATTGCAGGACGTGCTGCTTCACATGCGCCTGCAGGGGGCACTGTGGCTCCTCATTCACTTTTAATACATTCTAAAAATACACGTCCAAAACGTGCAGGGTTTTTCATGTCGTAGAGTAAATCCTCGAGTCTCTGGCCTCAGGCTCTGAGCACAGAAGCTGCAAAAACTGAAACAATATCTGAAATATTGAGGTTTTCTACATTTTTCCCATAAGGGTCCAGTGAAGCAGTAACAGAGGGAAACAGGGTCAGATTTTTGACATTCAAATGTCTCTTATTCAGAAACTAGAGGAACTATTGAAATAAGTAAAGTATCAGAATGTAGGAAAGAGTTACACTCCAACAGGGTCAAGTTAAACCTGTGAGATTCTTTCAAGTTCAAGACAAAAAATTTATTTTAAAACTCATGTCAGTAACGGAGGGAATAAAATATGCAGCACTTTTTGGTCAATAAATCCAAACAGTGATAACTCTTGGTTCTCACTTCCATATCCTTAACAAACTGGTTTGAATATTTGCTTCATATAGTTTTCTACCATATGGTACAAGATTAGGTTGAAAAACCTCTGACTTTTTGACTCATGAGATTTTTTATTAAGAAAGTTCATGGTAACGGAGGGAAAAGTAACGGAGGGAAAATTGTACAAACAAGTAGAAGGTGCAGGATTTTACATCATTTGTGGCTTTTTTCTTCTGAAAACTTTAATATTACTTCAAAATGAAAGAAACTATTTCTATAAAATATGTCAGTCCTTCCAAGAACATTTGTATCATTTTAAATACATAAAAAAAAAAAAAAATCATGTCCCTTCATCAACAGTTCAAAGATGGAATAACACAAGATATGATGAAATACATCCATTTATTTACATGATTTTTGGGTCTTTGAAATTTGGGAAATAATTTTTGTTCCATGTTTCATAAATGGTCTGTTTAAAACGTATGGAACTTTAGAACCAAAAATGGAACAGAAAAAAGGTCAACAGTTTGATAAACTAGAGACATATGTATCTGTTCAATACTTTTTTATATCAGATGAATTAACTTGGATTTTTGGTCTTGATGTTTACTTCTACTTGACTGGGTCCAGCTGCACAAATGAACTCAGTGGAGCATCATTTACCCCAGTGTCAGAAATTCAACTTGTACCAATTTTAAAATGTGACAAAACCAAATAAAATTAAATCTGTGGAATATTTGCTCAGCTGAATAAAATAAAAACAGGGGTCCATAAAACTCTGGCAGAAAAATCAGTTATTTAAAAAAATATATATATATTTTTAAATATAATAAAAAAAATAAAAAAATAAAAAATAAAGTAAAAAAAAAAAATAAAAAATAAATAAAAATAATAATAATAATAATAATAATAATAATAAAAGTTAAAAAACTAAAAAAGTAAAAGTTTCTGAGCAGGAGGATTCTGAATAAACTCATTCATTTTTAAAATAAGACAAATAATGAAGAATTTTTTTTTTTCTTATTTTTGGTTTTATTTTGAAAAATGAATGAACAAATGAAACATGGATTAGAATAAATAAAAAAATAAAGTTTGTCCTGACCAGAGCCGGCGCGTTCACCACAGACAGATTATATCCGTACAGGAACGACGAACCCAGAGCGCCAAAGAACGCCGCGCTCAACAGACACGGAGTCAGCGCCACCTGCAGGACGAAACCAGAAACACAGAGTCAGCGCCACCTGCAGGACGAAACCAGAAACACAGAGAGTCAGCGCCACCTGCAGGATGAAACCAGAAACACAGAGTCAGCGCCACCTGCAGGACGAAACCAGAAACACAGAGAGTCAGCGCCACCTGCAGGACGAAACCAGAAACACAGAGTCAGCGCCACCTGCAGGACGAAACCAGAAAACACAGAGTCAGCGCCACCTGCAGGAGAGACACTGCATTAAAAACAAGAGAGGAGAGAAAGAGAGAAAAGGAGAGAGGATAAATGTTTGTTGTTTTCAGTTCAGTTTCTGACCTTTTTGTTCGTTTCCTTCATGCTCAGTTTGGGATCCATCCCTGAAACACAAACATCAAGATTCAACTCAAACAGGAGAAGTAGTAGTAACAGTAGTAAACAGTAGTAGTAGTAGTAGTAGTAGTAGTAGTAGTAGTAACAGTAGTAGTAGTAACAGTAGTAGTAGTAGCAGTAGTAGTAACAGTAGTAACAGTAGTAGTAGTAGTAGTAGTAGTAGTAGTAGTAGTAGTAGTAGTAGTAGTAGTAGTA